CACACAAAAGCTATCTATGTAAAATTATAAGTTGACAGATTCTGGGTAGAGACTCCAGGGTAAAACTGACACTGTTTTATGGAATTTATAGGAATCCCTGGAGCAAGTGAAGACTTCTAACACAAAGACTCAGAGGTGTGTCTGGGGTTTGTCAGGCCATCCATAAGTCCATAGAAGCACAAAACCCATAAGCAGTAGAAAGCTGAGTTTTACCACCTACTATTTTCTATTGTAGGTTGGAAAAGTATGGCATAAAAGCCTTATCCAAAGTCCTAACACTTTGTGGTTAGTCAAAGATGGAAAGTACTTCTTATGGCATCTAATCTTGTTCTAAATCCCTAGATCATTTAGTCAAGTAGAGGCCACACACCAGGCACTATAATATGGCACAAGGAACTTACCTTCTTACTTAAACATAGGAGTTTATATTTTTTATTTTATTTTATATTTTTATATTTTATATTTTTTAAAATTTCAAAATCCATGAAAGTAAATAAAACACCAATAATAAATATTCTGTTTCATCTAAATGAGGAGGAGCAAAAGAAATCAGTTGTATATTCCACTGGTGTGACTTAGGTATGACTGAGAGAGTCTCTTTTTAAATAGACCACTGTAGTTTGTTTCTGAATTGACAATGTGACTGGATTTTAGAGTCTAAAGCAGCATGGGTTCTTTTTAACAAAGAGAATTGCTGTTTAAATTGCTGACAAGAAACTGCACTTAAAGATTCAGCAGCCAGTGAATATAAACACTGGGGATAAACATGTCTACTTGAATCAATCAAAGACAGCTGCAGCGTACCCCGAGAAAGGTGAGCAATTATTTATGAAATTATGTTTTCTTCAGTGATTCTGAGCTGCAGTTCTAGGATAAACTGAACAAGGAAAACAGACAAAGTCGCTATCCCAATTAATTAGGAGTCACATGAATGTTCAAAATCAAGGAATTTTAGTTATTTTTCACTTAACCTTACCACCCTGAATACAGGGTAGTTTAGCTTTAAAAGAAGACTGATTAAACAGACTGGCTCACTCTTAAAGAACTGTATATTTTCTTTCATTTTGAAAGCAAATATCTGCATGGACAGACTCATGGGTCTAGGGGATAAAGAAGGTGGGGCTGAGAGCTTTTACTGAGGGTCTGTTGTTCTTCCTGTGTTCACCGGTGTCAGTGCCTGGTCTTCTGTTGTGAGTGTCATTGCCGTTAGCTGTTTTCTTGTTGTCATCGCTTGCATGTGTTTGTTATATGTGTGGTACGTGTGTGTGTGTGTGTGTGTGTGTGTGTGTGTGTGTGTGTGCAGAGGCCAGAGGAGGAGACTGGGTTCCTTTTAGCACTCTGCTTTATTCCTCTGCGACAGGGTCCATCACTGAACCAGGAGGGAGGCTGATAAGCAGCATCCTCTGGAGATCCTCCTGTCACTCCTGCTAGAGCATTAGTATAAAAGGCACATGAGCACCTGTTTCCAGCATGTTATATGGGCACTGGGATCTGAATTCAGAATGTCATGCTTGTGTCACAAGCTCTCATACCTGCTGAGCCACTTCCCTATCCATAGCTGGAGTTTGGATCAGTGTCTTAATTTCCCTAGGGGTAGTCATGGACTCTGAAGCTACTGGACAGTGGTGACCAGGAGGTCAGCACAATGGTGTTCGTGATATCTGCAGTCAAATATACGAATTCTAGATTTCTGAGGTTCATGCTTAGGACTGGAAACTTGACTATCTCTATCAGGTTAGTTTGTGAGCAGGTCTCTGAGAGAATATTTTTTTAAAGATTTTTTTTTTGAGTGTGTTTTGCCTGCATGTATGTTGTGTGCCACCTGTCCACCTGGTGTTCATGAAGGTCAAAAGAGGACTGCTGGAAGTAGAATTAGGGATGCTTGTAATGAATGATGGAAACTGAACTCTTGTACTCTGTGAAAGAAAGAAGCAGAACTGAGCCATCTTTCCAGCTTCCATGAGGGATTTTCTCAGTCGTTAATTGATTCATAAGGGAACAGTTCACTATGAGTGGTACCAGTCCTTGGGAATTGTTCCTGGGTGTATAAGAAAGCTAGCTAAGCATGAACCTGTAAGCACGAGAACTAGAAAGTGAGCCCAGCAAACACTGTTTCTCCCCAATTTCTAGTGTAGCTCGTTGAACTGAAGGCAGGAGTCACAGGGAATTTACCTTTCAAATGCATAAAGCGGGAGGGAAAACAGATACAAATATCCCTAATGTAAAATAATCCTGAAATATTATATAAAAAAACCCTTAACGACACTCGAGTCATGAATCTTTCACTACTTCATGTCACTTGTTCTGTGTTTATGATGTCAACAGATGCCTACCAACCCTGTCTGACTGGGATAAAGGGAAGAAGATGTCATGAAAGGTAGTGAAGCAACGATTAGTAGCTAACTTGTATTTATTAGCAATTTGGTTTCTGTGCATCACATAATATTTCTATTTTTTTAGCATAAAGTAATATGTTTCTATTTTTCTCTATAGCCAAGGACAATTAAAGTTTTAATTATTCATCAATACTCTTCATTTCTCTTCCCTCTCATTCATGTAGAATAAAATGTCAGGTCTAATGAAACTCTGCATGACTTTCTCTGAAGTGTTGTAACACAGCCAATAGATGACCGAAAAGAATCCAGTCCTTGGCTCCAAAAGCCTGCAAAGGTCCCAGGTCACTCTTCCTTGCACAAGCTTTGTTTTTGAAGAATGCAAAGCCCTTTCAATGTCAGAGAGTTGTGTCTCTGATATACGTCACATAGATTGATACTAGCAGATGGACTTTTTCCCCTGAAATAACTTCATTAGTTAATTGTTCCTTTATATACAGTTGTTCTAGCTAATTGTCCATCTGCCAGCTGAAGGTGTTAAGGGTTCGCCAAGGAAGCTGATAGGTAGAGAGGAAGCCCAAGAGTCTCACCAATCCAAAGTGAAATGCCTGATAATGTCACGGGGGAATTGTATATTTTAGAATAAGTAATTCCTTCACATTTTTCTCTTTTTTCTAAAAATTTTACTCACAATGGACCTGCCCTTTAGTGAGTAGTCTTAATTATCCTCTATAATCCCAACTTCTGCATTGTAAACACAGTATCATTCCAGAGTGCCAACTAATGATTTTACTAGACACTGACATTGTCAAACATCCCTGCAGGCAAAAACTGTTTGAATTCTGAACAACTGTTCTATAGATAGACTCCTCCTATGAATTTTGAGTGTGTGCATGAGTGATCCGAGATGTTGAGATGTTATATACATATATAGTTTTGTTTCATGCATCTAACATGAAATATAGAATCTCCTTAATTTTTAAATTCAATTCTTAAAATAATTTAAAGATATAGATAGATAGATGATAGATAGATAGATAGATAGATAGATAGATAGATAGATGTAACTCAAGAATGTTGAAGGCATTAAAACTACTGCTTAGGCTCATAAAAAATGTGGGAGAGTATTATTTGATCAACTAGCGCATTTATAATTATTTCCTGGTAAAGAAAGGAAAAGGATCCCAATGATAATGGGTTACTTGAGAATGCCATGGTCATCCCCAGCATAAAAAGTGATAGGGACTTCTTTTCTTCCCCATTTACACAGTACAACTACATAAGTAGACAACCAGATTGCATGGTGGACTCATTTGACATATGATGATTAAATCAGTTTAAATGACTAAATCACGATTAAATCAAAACAAACAAAAATTAGTGTGACTTAATTATCTGGACATTTAGACAACTGACCCGGAACTGCACAGGACTTTTAACAGACTTATGGTGTGAGCTATGTAGGACTCATGAAAGAGCTAGTCACTCAGAAACTGAAATTTCTGGTCTTTAATACTCCCTGGCAATAGTTTTTTATACCTTCATTATTTCATATAATATACACAACAACGGATCCAGGAAGGATAACTTAAACATAAGATTTAGATTTTATTAAAGATTCATTGTGTGTGTGTGTGTGTGTGTGTGTGTGTGTGTGTGGTGTGGTGTGGTGGTGGTGTATGTATGTGTATCTCTGTGTGTGTCTGTATGTCTATATGTATGTGTGAGTGTATGTATGTGCGCCTGCGTGCGGCTGTATGTGTGTCTGTGTGGTACGTAGTAAGGTGGTGTTAGAATGTCTAAGTATGTATGTGTGTGTGTGTGGCTGTATGTGTGTTAGTGTGGTATGTGGTATGGTGGTGTTGGAATGTATAAGTGTGTGTGTGTGGCTGTATGTGTGTCTGTGTGGTTTGTGGTATGGTGGTGATGCTGGTGGTGCTATTGGAATGTGTGTGTGTGTGTGTGTGTGTGTGTGTGTGCTGCCTGTTTTCCAAAATGTGTGAAGACACCAGAGTCCCTCTATCAGGAACTAGAAGTAGCTGTGAACCAAGCCATGTGCAAGTGCTTTTAGCTGCTGAGCTCTCTCTCCATCCCCTCCCATGGTGTGTAGCAGAGAATCGAGTGTTCTCTTTGACAGTGGAGGGGAGCCTGTGATCATATGAAGTGTGTAGACAGAACTATTCTTTATATGAAAGGGAAAGAAACCTCAAACTTTGTCCAATTTGCTGTCTTTCCTGCAGGATTTCCTGCAGAAAGTCTTCAACAACTGAGTTGTTGTAATCTTAATAAGTTTTGTCATTAACTATTCTGGATGTACATGTTTAGGTTCCTCCAAATCAAACCCTTTACCTAAAAAATGCATGGTGTTCCTCACTAGACCTTTTGGGGCAACTGTAATAATTTCATTTATAGCCTTAAGAAATGCACATCTTTTGGGGAGTAGAATATATTACAACTGGGCAGATTGCCATTTTTAATCTTTGTGGTGAGTGCCCACTCAGAACGCAGCAATTCTTTTAGTGAGTGCCAGTAATTTAAAAATGTCATTACATTTTGATATCGGAATCAAAAAGACTCAGAAGCAAGTCCCCTGAGCTTTGCATGCATGCACCAATGGAGCCTCATTTTGGTTTTGAGGCCTGTACCAGATGAGGTTGTGCAACTTACTCTCTGCTGGCTCTTTGGACCTTCGGCCGCTGGATGACTTCCTCAGCAGGCTACGCCCTGAGGTAAAAAGGCTGGTGAGCTCCTCCAAAGGACTGGTTGGTGTCCGGGACCTGGAACCGCTCTGCGCAGTGCTGTAGGTGTTCACTGCGGCATTGACCATCTTTGCCCCATCTTGCGACACGGGTCTGGGAGTCGAGTGAGGCACTGAGGGAGAACTTCTTGAGAGGCTGCCAGAATGCACAGCGTCATAGGGGGGAGGCCTCTTGAGACTCAAGGGCGTCAGGGACCTCCCCATGCTGACAGGGGACGGGGAGGTAGAATGACTTTTTGGATAGCCATGAGGAGATTGGGTTCTGTACAGAGTGGATGGAGGCGGAGGAGACGAGGAGAGGACAGACGCTGCAGGCGCCGGGCCCAGAGCTCCGGTCTGGTCTTTAGTGTGGCTGGAGGTGTGCGATGGCAGGGCGGATGGACATGCTCCAGGTGGCTGCTTCATGTAAGACACGTTTTCCAATACAGGAAGCTTTGTGACCTCCAGAGGGGTCAGCGGAGACTCATCAGAATTGGGGGAGCAGTGCGCTGGGGCAGGTGGGAACACCAGCAGGGGTGGTCTATGAGAAAGTAAGTTGGGGAAGGGTGGGGGTATGTCACAGAGCAGACCCTTAGGAGTACATGGTCCTGAAGACTTGAGGAAGTCCAAGTCAGGCACCGTGGGAGTAGCACACTGCGAAGAACAACTGTGATGGTCGAAGTCACATTTGGAATCATGACCGAGGTCGTCGAAAATGGGGTATTTCATCTCCTCGTACACAGCCTCACTCTGGTCGTCTTCTTCCTTCCTGAAGTCTCTCAGAATGTTACCCACCATCTCGATGTACACGGGCTCCTCTTCTTCCGGGTCCGCTGCAGGGCTGCAGACCTGGGACAGAGATGAATCTCGTGGAAGCGAGGTCCTTCTTGGCACATGTTTTTTGATGTAGGTTTCATCGAATGACGTGCTAAGCTGAGTGTTGGGATTCCGTTTTGGTTTTGGTGGAGGGATTTTCTTTGAATATTCGTCACTGTGGGGTCTTGGCTTGGCAGACACTGAAAGAAAAGTAAAAGGGATTGAGGAGTAAAACATGAATATATTGGAAAGATTTCATATTTGACCTGTGCTTGGATTTTCTGTAATTCTTTGAGGCAAAGAGTAGTCAACTTCATTATTAGTTAGTTTGAGTCTTTGATTAAACCGCAAACTCATGGTCTAACATGTCCCATAGAATATCTTGGTGGTAGAATTATACTGACTCTTAATTTCGTACTAATTATTATCTAGCTACTCGTTCAACTCTGATAAAGGCATTAGACCAGGGCAGTAGTTACTACTGTGCCTTGGGATTATCAATGGAAAACTTAAGGGTGAAGTTTCTTGGATAATAACATGTAAAAATAAATTTGGAAAAGTGAGACTGACATGGACGACGGTAGGGAGAATATGATGTATGTTCACATAAATGGTCACAAAAATAACAGAAATTGAAATATTTTACTGGTGTGGCTGTAACAAATGCTTTCACCTTTTTGGGATAAAAATAAAAACATCACAGTTTGTTGAGTTTAATCTCTGTGCCGACACAAATAAATAGTTCCTATGAAGATGGATCCAAGACTTCAGAGAAACTGCTATGAAAGTCTTATGAGTCTAGACGGGTTAATCTCTAGATCCTGCTGTGGTTTAGGGTGCATTCATCTACTTTTTCCAGCAGATATCTTAAGGCATGCCCAATGCTATCTTTGTGTAAATTTATTAGTGATGGTCTACTCTCGATTCTAAATTCCCTGGAGAGTTTTAAAGGAAAATAATAAAGGGGTAATGAATAACTGATGGGAACTGGGAACTTGTGACAGATGTGTAGAACAAGGAACCACCTCCCTCTGGGCTGGAAGTCCTATCACTGTTCTACAAATTTTGATAGAAAACAAATTTATTGACACCATATTGAAAGGTAGATCTGGGTGAAAAATGTCTGCAACTAAAATTTGTTTTAGATGAAAGATTCTGGATTCTTGTTATGGATTTATTACCTTGTTGTGTTGATTAATACTTATATGGATTTATCTCATGACACAGCGTGGCAGACCTAGTGGCTTACATAGATGCCAGTACATGAGTCAGCTGACATCAGAGTTTACCGTCTCCAAACTTGGGCAAAGCTAGCCAGACTACTCTATGATTTGCAGACTAAGAGGGGTGTCAATATACCAATAAGGAAACTTTGATTTTCTCCTTTGCTATTTTCAAACCTCATAGCTTATGACACAAAAGCCTTTCTAAAATTTACTAAAGAATGGAATTCTTCTGAGTTCTGGCTATGTGGCTGCTCTGTGCATCTGTTGTGTCTTTAAGACAAAAACAATCAAGTATTCTACTACACACTTCATTTGGCTGGGTTTATAATTTCAGGTACTCTCTTCCACTTGTCCATGATGATAACTGTACTCATTGCAATCAAACAGTTTTTTTTGTAAGGCATCTAGATTTTTTTCTTTAAACCTTACTACTAAAAACTAGCATCATTTCCCAAAAGACTAGCTTAGTGAAACCGTTTATTTCCAAACATTAAAAGTCTATAGACATAATTAAGTGGAAATTAGTTAGCTAATTCCTCTCTAGAAAGAACCAAAGAACCACAAGCTCTTTTTTCCATCACCCAACTTGGCATGAATTTTATTATATTAAAAAATAAAATCAGTTTATGTACATACAACACTTACAAATTAAGATAAAGTAAAGCTATCTATGAACAAGGCTGAGTTAAGACTGGCAGTCTAGCAAAGCTACCCATGAACAATGCTGATTTCATGCTGGAAGGATTTTTGAAAGAATGGAAACCTTAAAGTAGGAAAATCTATCCAGAATATTCTTTGAAGTTTACTTCCTGTTACTTTCAACCACAGGGCATTACCTAAACTAATCATGCTGGAAATAAATTTCCTTTGGCTGTTGGGCTCAAAAAAGAGAGTCTAAGACTGAGGGGCCCTATGGGGAATTGATTGATCTGAGCCTACAGTTAGGATGGTGTTGTGATGTGGGTAACTTCCCTGCGTAGAAACAATCACACTCAGATTAAGGTTTTCATTCTTCTCTCTTAAATTCTATGCAGATAATTGGGGAAACAGGATTCGTATATTGTCCAAAGTACCTGAGTGGACAGAGAAACCTTGAGACAATGTCCTTCTTTCCCACACAGATGAGAAGATAACCTTTGGAATAAGTGGGATCAATGCCTGTATTTTCCTCAAATTGTGAACAAATGACTGTTTTATTTGCAAAAAGGCACAAAAATGAAATAAAGATCTTTTACACTCATGAAATTAATGGAGAAATTTCCTATTTCAGAAGAATGTATAGTATAACTAAACTAGAATAGTTAATCTTAAGAAATATGGACAAGCTCATGATACGAAGTTCATGGAGACAGTTTAATTTTGAACTAATTACAGAGAATTTGTACAAGGAAAACCAAATATGATACATGAGTCTCCTGGTATCAGTGAGATGATCAAACCTGGCAGATTCTATTGATCTGTGATCCCCTAGGACACGCATATATTCTACTAAAGACCACAACAAGTATGATGGTACTGGGAGACAGAACTGTGGTTGACATGTAAGCTTGGCAGAAGTCTTGAGAAGAAATGGCCTTTATAGAATTGAAAGAGTCTCTTCCCTTCTGCTTACCTGTCATATCAGAACGCAGAGGAAAGTCATCCTTGTACAAGCCAGGCAGGAATGCCTCAGTAGAAGCTAAATATGCCATGTCTTAATCTTAGACTGCTGATGGTAAAGACTATGGAGAAAGGGACTTCTGAAATATAAATGATGCCCCCATTTTGCAGTGTCACCCTGAGGCAGCTAAGATAAAGCATGTATTTATTGATCACTATGCAAATATGTAAGAACACTTTATAGTTAAATGATAGGTACCTATTTGAATTCCATCCTCTGGTATTAGGATTGTATGAGTAATTTTATTATTTTAAAATTTAATACAGTACATCCCAAGGTATCGTTTAAAATTTTTTTCATCCCCTGCCTCACACCATCTCATCTTCTTCAAGAGAGCATGCTTTTGTTCCACAAAACACTATTCAGGACAAATATCCACCCAGGATCAGGCTTCTACCACCAGGATGGTAATCATGGTTCCTTGTGATACAATTCTCCAACCTCTAATTTATGCCCACACATAGACTGCCTAACTCTCACACACTAACTGGAGGTTTGCTGCTTGGACTGACACTTGTTGCAAAACACCTAGATTCTACACTTCCTTGGCTCATGGCCAGATGAAGCAGTTCTCTTAGCTGATCTTTCCTGGGAAACCCTTGCAAACCAGCAGGCAAGCCTCTTTCTCTTCCCTTCCCTGTTTGGTGGAGACTGACCAAGGCTAGCAAGTTTATCTAACTCTAGTAGTTCTTTCCCTGGTCCTCTGAATTAGTACTGTGCAAAGTTTGAATTGGGAGAATAAGGATTATGTAGAGAGTAAATTGTTAATTAAATTACAAATAATTGAATTCATTCCCTCGAGAATGGGGGGAAGGGGATTCCTATATCTTTATTTCATTACATTCCAAAGTCTCATAATTCATTTTGGGAAGTAAGATCAGAGATAAACATATTTCCTAGGGAGGTAGCTTTTTATTTGCACACATATCACAGGATAGATCAATGATGATATATTTCCACTGTCATATTTTTAAAGTTTCTCTATATATGGAAAAGTCTTAAATTATAGGTAACATTATCCCCCAATTTATTTCACGTTTAATCTATTTCTGGTGAATCTAAAAGTAAAGAAAATTATTTCTTAGTATAATTTTTTCTGAGGCCCTTAAAATAGTCCTGTGCTACATATACAGATGTTGAATTGTTGCTAATTAAAGTCACACACACAAAAGACAATGAGAGCTGCACTGCAATTTTCCACATTTAACTGAATCCAACCATTTTAGAAAAGGTGATTTTATCATTTTAAATGAATTTTAAATTATTTTCAATAAGCCCAAAGATAGAAGCAATAATTCCTGCTCAACTTGAGAACACAAATTTTAAGGCTTAAAATAGTATAATGACAGTCTCATTGAACGAGCAGAAAGTGACATTTTTGAAATGAAGTACCTGAACACAAAGGTTATGCATGGCTTTCAGATGATTTGTCTTTCAGTTAATTTTGGAAATTCACCATGTCCTTTGTCAACTTATCCTTCAGAAATACATTTTGTAAAAGAGTAATATAAAAATATGCTTTAGTGTCTGTCAGGGTGCATAACCTGTGAGATAAAAAAGTAACACAGCACAGGTTGGCATTCCTTCTCATGGAAGTACCCTGTGGTCACAGAATTCCAGAGGTTGAAGGACAGTTAGAGACTATTCATTCCAGGCATTCATTCATTTAAATTCTCTCTCTCTCTCTCTCTCTCTCTCTCTCTCTCTCTCTCTCTCTGTGTGTGTGTGTGTGTGTGTGTGTGTGTGTGTGTGTGTTCGTGTGTATGTTTCTATAGTTTGATTTTACTCACAGGTCTACATAATGCATAGTGGCCATTCTTACTCTACTCTCTCTCTCTCTCTCTCTGTTCAACCACCTAATCCCCACTAACCTCTCATGTTTGTGTCTATTATTTTACATGAGCCACTGAGTTGATCCAGGGCCTTCCCTTGACCATGAGTTTTGAACTATCTTTTAGAGCCTGGCAGTGGGTACACAACCTAAGTCAATTTTTCTCTGTCTCCAAGAATCTACCAATAACCACTAGCTCAATAGTAGAGGCAGGGTCTTCTTCTGAACCCCTCCACCTTCCATATCTGATTGTCGGCAGGGTCAGTCTTCTGTGGATCTGGTGGAGATATCCAGAGTTGTTAAACTCTATGTGACTGGTAAGTAAATATGAATTTTGCTTACCGTGTATGTTTTTAGAAAAGAATATTCCAAATAGAATTAAGCATTCTATACCTTTTGAGACAAGCAAATCAATAGTGGAAAGCTATATAATTCATCATTTTATCTTTGGTGTGCTGTAATATATCGTTTGAAATGGTATTC